GCACGTTCTCCCCTAGAAAGTTACTTCAAAATCTCTATCTTCCTCTGTGACCTGCTCTAAGACCCTAGCCTCCATTTGATCATGGAATACCTGAATTTACCATTTGTACTTCCAATTTAACTCATTTAAAACCATCCAAACTATCTCCCATGTTTGAAATTTTGTTAGTGTTTATCTTCCTTTGTTTTATTCCCCACTTTGTGTATCTAATCACTACCTAGTTCCTATTAATTCTACATCCTGAGAGCTCCTTCATTTTATCTCTTTTACATTAGTAATGTCACCACCAATTTATAGGCCCTCATTAACAACCATCTCTTTCTCTCTTTTCTAATCTGTCTCTCACACATTTGCCAAACTAATCTTCCTTAGCTCCAAGTCTGTCAAATTGAAGTCTTTCAGTGGTTTCCTTTGCCTAAGAAATAATATCTAAAGGATTTGTGGTAAGGCAGGTAAATGCTATTAATGGAACTGTGAAAACAATCTGGAAAACAATTTGAAATTATTTGAGAAAAATGACTAAACTTCACACTCTTTGACTTAGAGATCTCATGGTATGTACCTCAAGGAGTTTAAAGAAAAAATAAAGATCTTATGTATACCAATATAATCATAGCACTTTTGTGGTAAAGATCTGCTGCACCAAACATGAATTCTGCCATTCATTCCCTTTTAATTTCTACTTTCAAGATATTTCTGTTTTGAATTATTTAGGAACATCCTGCAATGATTCCATACCTTCTTAAGAATCCATAGAGCCCTCAGTTTTATCAGGTATTGGTTAAATTTCCTTTTTTAATGCAATAATTCTTCAAAGATGTTTGGAATCATTTAGATGTCCTGGTGGCTATCTTCCCTTCTACTTTAATATCTTTCCTATTGATTAATATTCTTGTGCTGTAGGCTTTTAACCAAATTCTTTAACTGGATTTTCTTCCTCCTGAAATTTTTGGTAATTTCAGTATTTTTTTCTTATATTCTTTTGTACTTTACTTTTGCAGTCTTTCCCTTTTGATGGCGGATCTTCTGGGGTTAGGTATTAAAGCTATTTCAGTCTTCCACACTGGGGAATTCACTTTTCATTTGCATCCATCCCTGATCCAAGTGACTTGTAGGGGGGCCAGAACTAGTCCCAGGTTAGTGTCAATCCTTCTTTTTTAGGTCTGCTACCACTGCCTTTCATATATATGCTGGCATTCTGCTACAGGTCTTGTTATTTAATTCTCTGGCTGAGTACTACTACAACCCTAGACAGAACATATTTCTGCTTTCCTATATTTCTCCTTCATGTACAAGTTGAGTTTTCCTGCTTTTGCTTAAGAATGGTGGAGTGAGGTCCCAGCAAATACCCTTGCACAAGCTGGTGGATAGGGTGACATAGTATGGAGGCCACTAGGGAATGGGGTGCTGAGTGAACACATTATGCATTAGGGATAAGATCTCTCTGCTATTACTCCATCACCTTATTACCCTGAAAATCTTCTTGGTGTTTTGGTTTCCAGAGACAGCTGCAATTACTTTATCTCTTGTGGATAATTCCTATTTGTTGGAGTTTTAAGAGTTCAAGAAGACTGGGGAAAATATCTCGTCCTTCATCTTGCTGGTCACATGACTGGAAGTGCTTGAGTTCTTTGTTAAGACCTTCAAAGGAGAGTTCTTGTGTTTTTTTTTTCCTGAGAACCATTGGTGTTCATAGAATGCAATAATAATAATAATAATAATAATAATGATACCAGATTGCTGGAAAGCTTCTCAAAATCTAATTGTGGGGGAACTGGGTAACTTATGTATTTACAGAATTACCCTAGCGATTGGTAGCCACTTTGTAAAGACTATTCACTTTGATCAGTTATATGCCTGTAGACAAAGACTGATGAACAGAAGAACCAAAGTGATGGGCAGTCTATAAAAAGGATAGAGTAAAAATTCTAATCTGTTAGTTGTACATAGACAATGTGAACCTGACAATAGATCAAAAAATGCTATTTCAAGTGATGAAGATTCTATGCCTCATAACACAAGAACAATCTGTTTAAACAAATAGACGGAACTGAATTCAAAGGCAGTACCTTTCTCACCTAGAATTCCACTTTAGAGACTTCTAGGGTCCAACCCAACAATACTGATAGAAGCCTGATCCCTATACAAATTCAGGCTTAGGAATTCAGGGCTATACATTAGAGGAGGAGGATGACTAGTTCTTATCGACTAGCTTAGGCATAGGGACAGACTGGACAGCAAGTCACAAGACATTCTATTGGAGCTATAAAGTGTTGCTTAGGATGTTATACAAGAAACTAGAGATGTGACATGTGTAGACTGACCACAATACTAATACCTACTGGTGTAATTTTGTCTTGCATGTAATTAAGTATATACATTAATACACATGCTATTTGCTGCGTGTTTTGAGGATGTTTCTGTTTTACTATTTTTTATTCATGTTTATCTGCTTCTATACTTATATCATGTATATGCTGTAGCTATAATGAATTTTGCTACCTTTTTTTGCCTATAAGCTGTCATTCATTCATGCTTTGTTATTATGTAGGTCTACTGATATTGTGCTTGCTTTATTTTGCTATTTATTCTTATTTCCTGTGAACTATGGTTATTAATACATGATTGTTATATGTATACATAATATGTACTGCTTGAATTCAGATATTTACTTAATTAAATATCCTGTCAAGGAATGTTTATATTGTGCTTTGTTGACTATATGTATTGCTGATGTGACTTTGACATGGGATATTCAACTATCCTTATTTTTTTAAAGGCTGATTTTTGTTTGTGATTGAGTTATGTCTTGCAGATACCAAACATGCTTCAGGTTTTTTCAAGTGAATGCAATATTTCTGGTCCCATAGAATACTCTAATGCCCTTTTCATACACTAGTGAGTTTGGGGACAATGGATTGGGCATAAGCACTTGCTTCTGCCACTGCTTTTGACTTGTCATGACTGTGGGGAAGATGAAGGGAAAAACATTGATTTTAGGAGGCTGGCACTGCCAAGGGCAAGAAAACAGCAAGTGATGGTAGCAACAGTAATCCCTGAGGAACCACTTAGAAAGAGCAAGAAAGAAGAGAATCTTCTAACCTTGTGATGGAGGAGAGAGGGGAGCAGGAGCCAGTGGCCATATGCAGAGCTCAGTAAGGACCAGGGTGGCACAGTGGGTGGTGATCCAGAGTTAATATGATAGACACTTATCAGTTAAGGGTCTTAGTCCAGCTCAGAGTGCCAGCTCCTCTCTTCTCTTCCTTCACTTTTCACAATTCACAGGAAGTGAGAGTAGCTTTGCTGTCTCTCTCATTGACTGTAAAAATTGTGGGTCTTTGGAGAGCTTTTATTGTCTGTTTGTTTTAATCTTTATGTTATTAAAATCATGGTTAACTACTAACTGTGTGGACTAATGGGCAGATGCAACATTAAAAGAGTGGTTGACAAAAACCCCATATCAAATGGGGTTCATATAAAACATGAACAGTTGTCATGCCAGCATAAATGGGTTGGGGGTTTATATTCAAAGAGAGAGATAATTTGATCTAAAAAGCATCCCAGATAAAATACTTTTACCAAGGTATCTCTGGGCATCAAAATCAACAGATCAATAAACATTTATTAAGTGCCTACTATGTGCCAAGCCTTGTGCTAAGTGGGAATCAGTTATCACAGGGATACCAGCTGTCTGGCAGCATCTGCCATTAATCTCTTTTACAGACGACTGAATTGAAAGGAAACCACTCCTTTCAAAGGGAGGTGACCAAGAGTAAAACCAGAGAGGAAGTCATGCCTCAAGTAAGTTCCCTGGAGTGAGTATGAGGAAACTACACTCTCACAAAGATAGGGGAAGGGGAAAGTGACTGAAAGCTTTCCCTCTTACACTTACAAGAACTCTGCTTGCACATAAGAGGCTTTGTCAGCCAATACTTAGCATCTTCTGCCTGTGATATTAGAGAAGAAAAACCAATTCCGAACCTATGAGCATGGATCAAACATCTATTTCCTTCCTGTCCAACCCATCGCCTTGATCTGTGCCATTTGAGCTATGCTTATGTGGAGGTGGCAAAGGTGCAATGTTTCCTCCTTATCAACTAAGAGAAGTAACAAGAGCTAGGTGAAATCTGGGCCTGCCTAATCTAAAACACGACTTCTCACAGGACCATTATTGAATGATGCACTCCTACTTCTTCCTGTGACCTGAACACCATCACACACCAGACCTGACAACGTCCATTCTGATGACTGAGACATGGTTGTGTCCGACCCATTCTGTCAAGCAATCCCCAGGAGGTTTCTTTTTTTCTGAAAAACCTCTTCCATTGCCCCATTCTCTTCTTGCCCATCTCCCTGGGTCCTTCGTGTTAGGCCTTTAGCCTTCCGTTGAGTGAATTGCTTTGGATACCTAATAAAGATCTAGTGCTTTAACCATTGCCTCTTGTGAACATCTCCCCAAATTCCAAGATTGCTGGGATAGATGGGGCCAGAGAGGTTAAGCAACTTGCTCAAGGTCATATATCAAGTAAGTGGCGAAGACCAAGAGTCAAACTTTTATTCCACTACTTTCTATGTTGTTATTATTCAGTTGTTCAGTCGTGTATGACTCCATGTGACCCCATGGATTTTTTTTCCTGGAGTATTTTTTGGCAAAGATGCTAGAGTGGTTTGCCATTTCCTTCTCCAGGGTGTCCTCACTTTACAGATGAGGAAGTGAAACAGATAAGGGTTACCTGATTTGCCCAGGGTCACGCAGATGGTAAGTGTCTGAGGCCAGAATTTGAACTCAAATCTTCCTGACTCCAGGCCCAGTGCACTGTCCATTGCACTACCTAGTTGCCCCCTAAATTTCCATGGGAATGTATATGTGCTGTACTTCTGTAGAATATTCTGGAGGCAGCCAAGATACAAGTATTTCAGGCTGTACTTTTATCCCCTAAATACAGAATTTAGTGCCTTTAAAGTCAAGAGATACAAAAACCCAGAAGACGAAGCAAAGCTTGGATGCTGATTAGTTTATTTGTGTTTTAAATACAGGAATGAGGGGAGTCAAGATGTTTTCACTTCCCTATCATCCTAGGTTACTGAAGAATTTTCATGATGCCAGCCTCATATCTATCTTCTTATTCAGCCCCTGAAACAAGAATGGAAGAAAATCAAACACAGGGGATAGACTGACTTGGATTTGGTCCCTCGTCTAGTATTTATGACAGTAAAGTAGTCAGGCATTACTGAATTGGAGGAGACTTGGGGAGAGGATCTAAGTTGGGATGAGCAACAACAGAAAGAAGATGCACAATGAGTGAAAATAGGAGTTACTTCTACAGAAATGGAATTGCACTGGTCAAATATTGTTTTATTAGGGATCTCTCAGTCAATGAGAAGCCTGACACCAGGTGAAAATGAGCAAATCACGTGAGAGGAATTTACCATGAAGAGGAAACAAATTAAAGGAAATGGAACAGAAGAGAATCTGGGATGTAGCTGAGGACATGAAATGGGGAGTCAGTAAGTGGATGGTAAAACATAGATTTGATTCATTAGAAGAGTACTTTGTACTTTAAAGGGTTAAAACTAACCATTTCCGTGATCATGAAGATACCCTCTAATGGGAAATGGGCCATTTCTCCTCCTTTCCTGAGGGTTTGGGACCCTTTTCTGACCTCTTCCACGTCGTTTTTGGCCTACAAAAATAAAGGAAATAAAAACTGTTTAAGGAAAGATTTACATTCAGGTGTAACAGGTTGTTGGCTTGGGGCTGCTAAGTATAAAAAAACGAAAAGCGAAGAGAGATGTTTAGGGCAAGAGTCTTATGAATCTCAAGAGTTTTCAGTTGTGGATAAGGGAAATCTATGTTCAAGGGAGTGAATCCCAGTGGAATTCTATCAGGAACACAAGCATTCGCTTGGCCAGAGGTTGCATATCCAGTCACAAAATACAGAATTCATCTCAACCATTTCCAAGCTGTTGTTTATATTTAGATATAAATACATATTAAATACAAGAGGTATGAGAACTGAATGAGAGGCAAAATGGATGGAAAATTAGATGTTGTTGTGATCNGGCCAGAGGTTGCATATCCAGTCACAAAATACAGAATTCATCTCAACCATTTCCAAGCTGTCATAACATATTAAATACAAGAGGTATGAGAACTGAATGAGAGGCAAAATGGATGGGAAATTAGATGTTGTTGTGATAAGATTGACCTCACAACATCTATTAAAACCAAGATATAAAATAGATTATCATCTAAGTAAATAATGAGAGTAACCACTGGGGATAGAATCAATTGAAAAAGAGGTACCTGGAGGACCTAGAAGAAGCAGTATGACTGAACTAGAAAACTGCTACTCAATAAAGTAAAATAAAATAAAACGTTATTCAGTAAAATTAGTCAAATTTTGCTAAATATTTGTGACTTATTTCTTTGGTATTGAGAACCTTCTCAGGCCATTGGTCTACATAAGTGAAGCCTTCAAAGTTAGTTGAAAGGCAAGTATAAGCCTCTTACTTGACAGAACTTTCACCTACTAAGAAGAAGAAAACAAAAGGCAAATAATGGTAACTAAAACAAATTGATTTTCCAGACCAGGGTCAGAAAAAATGATGATAATTTGACTTTTTTTTAACCTCACTACTAGTTTAATATTAAGGAACACAATAAGAGAGGCAATTAAATAGAAACTAATTCCAATTGACTCCCTCAATCTGGGGGCAGAGAAAGATCAGAAACATCTTGCCAACCCTCCTATTTCTCATTGCCCTCTCTCCTTGCACAGTCAGTAGTGGGACTAGGTTTGAGGTCTGAGGTGGGTCCTTTCCTAGAAGAGGTAAAGAGGCTTTGCATAAAGGTGAACCATATGGCCAGGATACAGCATTCCTTTATTTCATGTTTAGATATAAATCTTTTGAATAGGCATTTGGATGTTAGGGTTCTTGACAATACATTTCTTTCTCTCTTTCTTTCTCTCTCATACGTCCTCATTTGAAGGCCCACGTTTGAAAAAGAAAGAAAGAGACAGAGACAGAAAGACAGAGTATTTAATTGAAGACAACAAAGTGACTGGTTTTTTGATCTGGAAAAATTCTCTGGTGAAAAATGAGACCTGTGCTTTGGCAAGAGAGAATAATACATATTAATATGATCATACCCTTAGTTCATCAGAACCCTCTGTTTATCCCTACTCAACTTTAAGAGGATGAATACTCAAGCAGTCTGTAATGTGAGACAAGGACCAGGGACTACAGAGAAAAAGGAAAGAAAGCCAGTTTTGGGATGTAATTTACCCTCAGGTCCACGAGATTGTCTAGGCGGTCCTGTGTACAGAATAAAAAAAAAAAGGAAAAAAGGATGTTTAGGGAAAGAATCTTATGAATCTGAAGAATTTTCACTTGTGGATAAGGAAAATCTATTGTCAAGGGCCCCATTGCGATAGAATTAATTGAAAAAGAGGTACCTGGAGAACATAGCTGAAGGAGTATTAGACAACTACAAAAATGTTACTCAATAAAAACCAGTAGAATTTTGATTCTTTGTGAGGTATTTCTTTGGAATAGAACCCCTCCTAAGATCATTGGTCTCTGTAAATGCAGCCTTCAAAATTAGCAAGCATAAACCTGTTTTACTCCCTTAACAGATCTTTCATTTACTAAGAAGAAAAATACAAATGGAAGATAATGGAAACTACTTTAAATTGTTTCCTCTCAGTCCAGAGCCTGAAAAAGAGATGGCAATTTGGACCAAATTGCCTCACCACCATTTTAAGGAAAACAAGAATGGCAACGAATAGAAATCAATCCAAACTGACTCCCTCAATCCAGGGGCAGAGAAAAGCTAGGAATGTCTTGCCAATCCTCCTATTTCTTCTTGCCTTCTGTCCCTGCAGTCAGTGGTGGCAGTAGATTTGAGGTTAGATCTGAAATGGGTGCTTTCACAGAAGTAAAAAAGTCATGTATAAAGGTGAAAAATGTGTGCAGAATGTAGCATTTCTTTATTTTGTGTTTTAGATGCAAATCTTTTGAATAGACATTTGTCCTTTTGGGTTCCTTTTATTACATCTCTCCTTTCCTCCTTCAACTTTACAAAACACTTTTTCAAAGGTTAAAGTAGAAGAGGAGGAGGAGGAGGAAGTGAGAGAGAGAGAGAGAGAGAGAGAGAGAGAGAGAGAGGGAGGTTGGGCAGGGAAAGGGGAGGGACAAAAGACAGATAGAGGGAGATATAGACAGAAAGACTAAAAAAGAGAAAAAGACAGACAGAACATTTAATTGAAGATGACAAAGTGACTTTGTTTTTGATCTAGGATATTCTCTGGTGGAAAAATGAGACCTCTGCCATGGCAAGAGAGACTAATGCATTTTAGAAGACCACATCCTTAGTTCATCAGTACCCTCAGTTTATTTGTTCTCAGCTTTAAGAGGATGAATAACCAAGTGGTCTATAATGTGAGAAAAAGAGCCAGGCTAGGAGAAAAAAGGAAAAAAAAAAGCAAATTTTGTGATAGACTGTAACTTACCCTGAGGTCGACGAAATCCATGAAATCGATGAAATCGAGGTCCTGTGATTAGAATAAAAAAGAAAAAATGATTTTTAGGGGAAGAATCTTATGAATCTCAAGTTTTCAGTTGTGGATAAGGACAACCTATGTTCAATGGTCCCAGTGGAATTCTACCAGAAATAGAAGCCTCCACTTGGCCAGAGGTTACATATTCAGTCATAAAATCCAGAACTCATCTCATTCATTTCAAAGCTGTCATAACATGCTATCTACAGGATGGATGAGAAATGAAGGAAACAGATGCAAAAAGGATGGAAAATTAGATGTTATTGTGATCAACCTAAAATCACAACCTCTATCGTGACTATGATGTAAGACAGTTGATCATCTTCTGAATCCTAGGTAAATCACGGGAGTAATGATGGTTGTGATCAGCCTGATCTCACAACCTTATTGTGACCATGATATAAGATATAAGATGTTGTTATCATCTTTTGAATCCTAGGTAAATAATGGGGGAATCATAGCAATAGAATTAATTGAAAAAGAGGTGCTTGGAGAACATAGATGAAGCAGTATTAGGCAGCTAGAAAAAGATTACTCAATAAAACTAGTAGAATTTCATCGAAAATTTCTGATGTATTTCTTTGGCATAGGGCCCCTCCTGAGACCATTGGTCTATGTAAACAAAACCTTCAAAATTAGTTGAAGTACAATCATAAGCCCCTTTTACTCTCCTGACAGATCTTTCACTTACTAAGAATAAAAACACAAAAGTCAAGTAATGGAAATCAAGTTAAATTGTTTCTCCCAGTCCATAGTCTGAAAAGGGGATGGTAATATGGACTTACTTATCTCACTACTAGCCCAATATTAAGGAAAACAACAAGAAAGGTAATTAATGGAAATCAATCCAAACTGACTCCCTCAGTCCAGGAGCAGAGAAAGGCTAGGAGCTAGAAAGTCTTGCCAATCCTCCTATTTCTTCTTGCCTTCTGTCGCTGCAGTCAGTGGTGTGAGTAGATTTGAGGTTAGATCTGAAATGGGTGCTTTCACAGAAATAAAGAGGCTGTATTTAAAAGTGAAATATATGGCCAGAATGTAGCATTTCTTTACTTTGTGTTTTAGATGCAAATCTTTTGAATAGGCATTTGGCCTTTGGGATTCCTTTTATTACATCTCTCCTTTCCTCCGTTAGCTTTACAAAAGAACACTTTTTCAAAGGTTAAAATGGGAGAGGAGAAAAGAGGGAGACAGAGACAGAGAGAGAGAGAGAGAGAGAGAGAGAGAGAGAGAGAGAGAGATGTAGGGTGAGGGAATGGAGAGAGAAAGGAGACAGATAGAGGCAGATATAGACATAAAGAGTCAGAGAAAAAGACAGAGAGCCTTCAATTTAAGATGACCAACTGACTTTGGATTTTTGACCTGGGACATTCTGTGGTAGAAAAATGAGACCTATGCAATGGCAAGAAAGACTAATGCATTTTAACATGAGTACACTCTTAGTTCATGAGTGCTCTCTGTTTATGGTACACATCTTGAAGACTCTAAATGCTCAAGTGGTCTCTTATGTGAGAAAAGGACCAGGGTCTACAAGGAAAATGGAAAACAGACTGTTAGGGAAAGAAAATAACTTACCCTGAGGTTTACCAGGTTGTTGCCTAGGACCTTTTGTGGATAGAATAAAAAAAAAGGAAAAAGTGATGTTTAGGCAAGAGTCATATGAATCTCAAGGACAATCTGTGTTCAAGGTCCCCAACGGAATTCAATCAGGAAAGTAGCCTCCATGTGGCTAGAGTTTACATATTCACTCATAAATCCAGAACTCCTCTCATCCATTTCAACGGTTTCATGACGTATTAACTACAGGAAGTATGAGAAATGAAGGAAATAGAGGTGAAAAGGATGGAAAATTAGAAGTTCTTGTGATCTGCCTGAAATCATAACTCTTATTGGGACCATATATAAGTCAGTTTATCATCTTTTGAATTGTAGGCAAATAATGGAGATAATGATGGCAGCATATTTAATCTAAAAAGAGGTACCTGGAGAACATAGTTGAAGCAGTATTATGCAACTAGAAAAACATTCTTCAATGAAAACTAGTAGAATTTATTAAAAACTTCTGATGTATTTCTTTGGCATAGAGCACCTGCTGAGGCCATTGGTCTATATAAATGAAGCCTTCAAAATTAGTTGAATTGCAAGCATAAGCCCCTTTTATTTCCCTGACAGATCTTTCACTTACTAAGGAGGAGACCACAAAAGGCAAATAATGGAAACTAAATTAAATTATTTCTCTCAGTCCAGAGTCTGAAAAAGATGGCAATTTGGACTTCCTTGTCTCACTAATAGCCTAATGTTAAGGAAAACAACAAGAAAGGCAATTAATAGAAATCAATCCAAACTGACTATTGCAATCCAGGGTCAGAGAAAGGCTTGGAATGGCTTGCCAATCCTCCTATTTCTTCTTGTCTTTTGTCCCTACAATCATTGGTGGGTGTAGATTTGAGGCTAGGTCTGAAAGGGGTGATTTCACAGAAGTAGAGAGACTATATCAGTGGTGGGGAACCTGAAGGCTTAAGACCACATGTGACCTTCTAGGTCCTTAAGTGTGGCCTTTTGACTGAATCCAAATTTTATAAAACAAATCCTTTTATTTGTTCTGTAAATTTTGGATTCGGTCAAAAGGCACACTTAAGGACCTAGAAGGCCACATATGGCCTTAAACTGTAGGCTCCCCACCCCTGGGTTATGTGTAAAGGTTAAAAAGTATGGCCAGACTGTTATTGTGTGTTTTAAATGCAAATCTTTTGAATAGGCATTTGTCATTTTGGGTTCCTTTTATTAAGTTTCTCCTTTCCTCGTTCAGCTTTATGAAAGAACACTTTTTCAAAAGTTAAAGAGGGACAGAAGGAGAAAGTGAGAGAAAAAGAGAGAGAGGTATGGTGGGACAGAAGGGTGAGGGAGAGGGGACAGAGGCAGATATAAATTAAAAGACAGAAAGGACAGTGAAAAAGACAGACACAGAGCATTTAATTAAAGATGACAAAGTGACTTTGGCTTTTTGATCTGAGAAATCTGGTGGAAAAACGAGACCTATTCAATGGCAAGAGAGACGAATGCATTTTAACATGATCACACTCTTAGTTTATCAGTATTCTCTGTTTATGGGTACTCATCTTGAAGACCCTATATGCTCAAGTGGTCTCTGATGGGAGGAAAGGGCCAGGGGCTACAAAGAAAAAGGAAAAAGACTGTTAGGTATAGACTGTAACTTATGTTCAGGTGCGCCAGGTTGTTGGCTAGGGGCTTTTGTGGATAGAATAAAAAAAAAAGGAAAGAGTGATGTTTAGGGCAAGAGTCCTATGAATCTGAAGGAGTTATCCATTGCGAATAAGGACAATCTATGTTCAAGGGCCCCAGTGGAATTCTATCAGGAATAGGATCCTCCATGTGGCCACAGGTAATACATTAAGTCATAAAAATTGGAACTCATACCATACATTTCAAAGCTCTCATAACACATTAAGTACAGGAGGTATGAGAGGTGAGGAAATAGAGACAAAAGGGTTAGAAAATTAGATGTTACTGTAATAAGCCTGATTTCACAACTCTACTATGACCATGATATAAGATAGTTTATCATCTTTTCAATCCTAGGGAAATAATGGGGATAACCATGGCAGTGGAATTAATTGAAAAAGGTACTTGGTGG